CGGGTGACGCAAAAGAAAAAATTCTACCGCGTGCGTACCAAAACGCAAGCCGCGAATATTAGGTTAGCCCGTAAGTAACTTTAACACTTATATGGTCTCTTACTTGTACCGGAATGCATCTGCAAATCGTTACTGATGAACTATTGCCAGAAGCGATCAGATACAGATAACAGATCAATTAAGCACCAGAGGTAATAAGTGACATAGAACGTTTTGCAGTATCACCGACGAACTACTGAAGCGATATATCCTAGCTTTAAATGCAGTGGAGGTAGGACAACATTTTCAGCTTTAACCAATGTGAAGTTTTCCCGCCCATTTGATGTGGCTCGCGGGATCGCCATACTTTTCGATCATAGAAAAGGTCAAATTAAAAAAAAAGTTGTCAACCAAACATTTTTGAGTTGTGTAGCCAAAAATAAAAAAATTTTTTTAATTTTGTTTTCATAAAAAGTTGAATAACTCAGTAAAATTTTATCAGATTTTTGAAGATAAACACTCATTTTACTCATTATTAAATTTAGTTTTCAATCAATTTAGGACTATTATAGTTTTCTTATAAAACAGTGCGTAAAAATCTCGCCGAAATTGAAAAAAGTAAAAAAAAAATGTGTGATACAATTACAATATAAAATACAAATGACCCGTTTTAATAAACCTTCCCGGGTTTTCTGCCTTCAGTAGATCAAGAAATCAAAAACCTACCCTTTGCTGCAACAACAGCGCACAAGCGGCATGGCAAAAACCGCATAAACGTATACCACAAATCTGTTTCTTTTCGTGTTGTATCTTTCAAGCATTTGGGCAAAGAAGTAATGTCGCAAAACTCATAAGTTTCAATGGACAATATCTCAGGTATAAAACAAGATATCTCGTTGAGTTAAACAGCATTAACAAGGAGAAAAATTTTGCTTTCAAATGATTTATTCAATTTTGTAAAAAAGAAACTATTCCTGATGAAAATACATGATGAATATTGCAAAAAATCGGGTTTTTCGTATGCTTAGGCTCAAATATCTCGAAAACCTAAGCCAATCGAGCAAAACTGATTTTGGATTCAGATTAAGTGCAACGAAATCCTTTAGAAAGGTATAAGCTGATCTCAGTTGTGATAGTCATTATATTAAAAAAACGAGAAGTAGATGTGCGATAAGGTTTTTTTTTTTTTTAATTAAGAACTTTTTTTTATCAGTATGAGTTGATTTGAATTTTGATGAAATTAAAAACGTGCACTATGCGAGACTATCTCTTCACTTAGAAACGGCAGCATGGATTTAGATGAAATAGGGAACTTGGATCGCTTATAACCTTAACCCTCTAGTGGGCCAATTTTTGTATGAGTTGAAAAATTCACGAATGGGTGATTTTAGCACGAGAAATCCAAAAATTATGTCCATTTCGATCTGTGACAGTAACTTTTTCCTACAGGGGAGAAAAACCAAGACCGTCTGGAGACGGGCTCGCCGATATACTTTGACGTATTTTCAGCTTTCTCTTACACAATGTTGACCTACGAACCGGCAATCCCGTCTGCAGACGGTCAAAAATGCAAACTGGGTTTTTATATGTCGGCAAGCCGGTCTGTAGACGGTCTGTGTTCGAAAGCAATTTTCTCCATTTCGAATGGTGACATAATTATATAACTTATATCAAAATACTGTGCTTTTAACTACGAAACCCACTGAATTTTTTTGTATCAAAAAATGTTTCAAAAGAAAAAATTTCTTTAATTACGAAATTACTTAATAGCAAGAAATAATTAATTTTAACCGAGTCTTTCACAATTTATGATTCAACTGCCGATTAAAATACAACGGATTGACATAACGGATTAAAATTTACATCGTCGTAAAGGTACGCTTTTTTTCTATAGATCGTGCTGTTCGAATATAAAAAAAAATTATTATAGGTGCACTAAATACGTGTTTAGTTAACGACCGTCTGGAGGCGGTTCAGCCTACTAGAGGGTTAACTAATATTTTGAATATTCATAAGGTTTTTGAGATTCAATATTGGGCGTTTTAACGCCATGCGGGTTCACTAATAGTTTCCACCCCTATTCTGCAGCTCTTCCGTATTCGGATGATGCAATCCTAATCGTATTTTCGAACTTTCGAAATTCGTAACAATGGCATGCATAAAAACGAACGTAATTTTGTATGAAAACAATTCTGTGCTGGAGGCGAGATAAAAGATGTAAATCGATGTGTGTTTGCAGGAAATATTAGTGGTGTTCATTTAAACAGATAAGTTGCCTTCGCATACACGTATATTTTTATCCACTGCTTTATATAAACGAAAGAAAAGAATATTTGTTGCCCCTTATCGAGAAACTTGGGTGCGGTTTAGGTATTTGTATAATGATTTTCAGTTGTTGTGTCCAAGCGCATAACCCGAATCCAAAAAACTTTAACATCCACGTGTAATCAAAGGAGTAAACTTTTATCTAAAGCAAATCTTTCAAATTTCCGGCCATTAGTTTATTAATAAATTCGGTTTGGACTATGCACTTTTTTGTAAATTTCGATGTGGGTTCTGCGCAAAAATATTGTGGATGGCGTAGCCGGAGTTATGTGCTTCAATGTTGTATACCTTTGGCATGCGGAAGCCCCTCTTCTCCGCCAACACAGAAAGGAGAATTCTACTAAGTAAGGGTTATAATCTCTAAGCGCGGTCGAAGACAGAAGCAAGCGCAACAGGTGGTGGACCTAACAAAGTGCATGTTTTCCATGGCGTGGAAGAAGTGATTATTGCATTAACTGGATTGCGAACCAGTTCTTCAGGCATAGGAGGAGTTCTGGCTTGTGGTTCAACAATTCAACCAGAACCTGACATAGATGCGCCCATGGTTACTATGCCTAACAGCTCCGCATATCTTTGTGAATCATTCCCATAGCGCGCTCTTACTCCGCTGCTATAATTGCAAATCCTTCGTTTTCTTTAAACCATGTAAAATCAAACAATTTTACCATTAATAAGCATTTGAGTGGTCCACTTGCAATCAGCGTTATGTGATTTTATAATAGTAAGCCATAATAAAATATAAAAAAAATTCTACAACAACAAGTAACATCCAAATTGTATATTTCTTTTTATTATCTGAAAATTTGGATAAATAAAAGCCAAATAACATTAAAAAACAAAATCGCAGTGTGGTAGTTTTTGCAAATTTAATATATAGAAATTAAATAGAGCGAGTTTTGAAACAGTAAGTTCAATATAGCCTGCTTTTGTAAGCTTTTCGCGTTCTCTCTTCCATGAAAATTGGTCTGCTTCATTTTTAAGACGTCTTCCACTAGGCACCGAAACTACCACATTTTCTTGCAGTTTTCTAAGTTCATCAGAAGATGGAGACTATTGAACTTGTATAAATACGTACAATAAATATTATAGCGACTTCTGAAAGTGTATATATACATACAGTAATTATTATAGCGACTTTTGCTAGAGTAGCTAACATTTGATGCTATTTTTTCAGAATATATAAGGATCTTGCACTATATTGTTAGTGTACATGAAACTACTTTAAATGATGGTACGTTAACCATCAAAAACTAAAAATCGAAAAAAATTACATAGCTCACTCTGCAAGTGGACTACTCATTTGATGAATGTTTTTTTAATTCCTTTCCACTTTGTTTTCCTTCATTCAGCTGTCTTCGAAAAACAACTGATAGCTGGCAATGCTGCACATGTTTCCGCAAGGGTTGCAGCATGTGGATTTTTCGTTTTTCGTAACGTAGCAACGAATTACGAATTACGAAAATTCGGGTTCTAGAATAAGGGGTTTCATATCGTAGGTGATACTGCAAAACTTTCTATGTCTATAACAGGCTAACCTAATATTCACGCACGCCGCAAATTTACTGTCAAAAATTTCTCATGCACATCCAACTTGTATGGGACCAACCTAAATTGAACGGCGTGCGTATGAAGCTAACTCAGTTTCCAATATTTGTTCTGCGTGACATTTTGATTTGACATTTCGCTCAATGAAATCAAATGCAAACGCAAGCAAGCCAATTTCGGGTGACGCAAAAGAAAAAATTCTACCGCGTGCGTACCAAAACGCAAGCCGCGAATATTAGGTTAGCCTGTAAGTAACTTTAACACTTATATGGTCTCTTACTTGTACCGGAATGCATCTGCAAATCGTTACACCCTAATAAACGAATGATACAACTGTCTACCTTTGGCTGATGAACTATTGCCAGAAGCGATCAGATACAGATAACAGATCAATTAAGCACCAGAGGTAATAAGTGGCATAGAACGTTTTGCAGTATCACCGACGAACTACTGAAGCGATATATCCTAGCTTTAAATGCAGTGGAGGTAGGACAACATTTTCAGCTTTAACCAATGTGAAGTAAAAAAAAAGTTGTCAAGCAAACATTTTTGAGTTGTGTAGCCAAAAATAAAAAAATTTTTTTAATTTTGTTTTCATAAAAAGTTGAATAACTCAGTAAAATTTTATCAGATTTTTGAAGATAAACACTCATTTTACTCATTATTAAATTTAGTTTTCAATCAATTTAGGACTATTATAGTTTTCTTATAAAACAGTGCGTAAAAATCTCGCCGAAATTGAAAAAAGTAAAAAAAAATGTGTTTGCTGGGTAAATACACACAGATTTCTTAAGGTTTCTTCATTCACATATACAACTTTCGAAAGGCCCAAGTTTAACCCCGGCAATAAAATGAAACTCGGTTCATAATCAACTAATTTACAGGCTTATAAGTGCGCAAAAGTACGACAAACCGTGTTTTTAACGGTAAATCAAGATTTTGAGGGTGTTTGGCAAATTTCATATTTCGATTCTTGTTTTACTCAAGAAGACCTAACAGAAAATACACATAACTTCCCAGGTATTTTTTAGCGTCGCACAGTGTTATTTTTCACATTTGTATAAAAACGTGGGGTGAAACCTGCGGGTATAAGCTAGTAATAATAATAATGCATAGTAATAAACAAATATCGTTTTCTCTTTCTAGAAATTCCTTGTTCATGCAAAGAGACTGAAAGCTGATGGAAGATTTACTTGACTCATGTTTTACCTAGTAATGCATTTGCTGCAACAACTTCCTCCTCTCATGCAGGTATCTGTGATTAGTGAATTGGCTGAAAGAAGTACCACCACGTTCGCCAACAGTACTGATACAAATTTGGATGTTAGAGATGACATTGCTGTACATAAAAATATTATGTCTTCAACTGCTTACGGCGTTCAATTTATATATACTATACTTAGCACTGTCAAGTATCACCATAGAGCAAACGGTAATGACATTCCGCTCACAATGGCTTGAGTTACCATTTAAAGTTAAAAACATTCAAGTGAGTCGTTACCTGCACCGCAAGTCCAGTGCACAAGAATATGCATTCAGTAATCACAAAATATCTGTTTCGCACCTCCTCCTAATTTACTATCTAAGCAACTGCATTTGCGCTGCAACATTGCCACCTGTAATCCGTTTAGGTAAGCTACTCACGGCCGATTTAATAACCATTAATAAAATACTTGCAATGTTTTTTTTAAGGCCATGCCAGTTAAAAATTTTGTTTCAGGTTGCGTTATGCGAAATGGCCAACTCCCATACACTCCTCTCCAAGCTTCGTGTTGCACCAAAACTATTAGCAACATTTCGGATAGCTATGAAACTGAATGTCCAAAATTCATAGCTTTATGCGTAAACTAGCATTGCGAAAGTTTTGTTAAAACTACGTTTGCCAGACGGTCTGATTTTATCAGTACAGTACTGATTTTTCAACTCTTGTACTGATTTTATTCATTTCTTCAATCAGTACGCCAATGTCCTGATTTTTCAAAATTTGTACTGATTTGTACTGAATTTTCAATTCAAACAAAATACTTTAGGATTTTCTTAAGCTTAAATTATTTAAAAAGAAGGCTGACGTTATTTTGTCGAATGTTGTTAGTTATATCGAAAAGAATTTTCATTTTAATAATGACAAATTTAAATATTCGAATTTCTTTTGCCTGTAGCTTACAATTATTTTTTCCCAATTTATTGACATTGTAAAAGACTTTTGCATACAAGACATAGAGTTAGATACTCTTTTTAGCGAATTAATTTTGCGTAGTTGGGTATCAAATTAAAGAGTGTTAAGAAGGCTTACAGCCGAAAATATGTATCATTAGGGTTGCCACCTGTTTCAAAGTTTAACTAAATTACACTGATGAAATAAATGAAATATTACACTATTGGTATCAAATTAAAGAGGGTTAAGAAAGATAACTGTCAGAAGTATTTTTGAGGAGTGGAGCCACCTATTTGAAAATTCTAACTCAGTCAAATTGATAAACTAAATAAAATATTACCATGTGGGTGTCAAACTAAAGAGTTTTAAGAAGGCTTACAGTCGAAAATATTTTAAAGGAGGGTTGCCACCTTTTGAAAAAATTTGCGCAATTTAATTGATAAACTAAATGATATATTACAATATAGATATTAAATTAAAGAGATTTAAGAAAGATAACTGCTGGAAATATTTTTTAGGAGGGTTGCCGCCTATTTTAAAACTTTTAAGCCAGTTAAATTGATAAAGTAAATGAAATATTGCAAGGTATAAAACTAAAGAGTTTAAAGAAGGCTCACAGGCGAAAATATTTTAAAGGAGGATTGCCACCTGTTACAAAATTTAGCGCAATTTAATCGATAAAATAAATGACTTATTACAATATAGGAATCAAATTAAAGAGGTGTAAAAATNATGAAATATTGCAATGTGGGTATTAAACTTTAGGGTTTTAAGAAAGCTTACAGCGTAATATATTTTTGAGGAGGGTTGTTACCTGTTGAAAATTTGACTAAATTTAATCGATAAAATAAATGACTTATTACAATATAGGAATCAAATTAAAGAGGTGTAAAAATCATGACTGCTGGAAATATTTTTGAGCACCCCTTGCAACCTATTTTAAAATTGTAACTCAGTTAAATTGATTAAATAAACGAAATATTGCAATGTGGGTATCAAACTAAATAGTTTTAAGAAGACTTACAGCCGAAAATATGTTTGAGGAGGTTTGTTACCTGTTTGAAAATTTAACTCAATTAAATTGATAAAATAAATGAAATGTTACAATATGGGTACCAAACAAAAGGTATTTA